GCCACCAACAAGTCTTGAGTCGACACCCAGTCAAGTGCTGCTTTCCAGGCTTCCACTTCTCTTTCAGTACTCATCCACCAACCAGACCATTTTGGAGTTACCCACTGAGAGGGCCAGCACTCCAAGCTTCTCTTCCACATTGCTGATTAAAGGTCCCACCTGGTGCCAGTATCTCCCACTATCCAGTGACTGATTACCACAGGGACAGCTGACTGAAGTTGTATACTCCCAGGGAGTTCGCAATCTAGCAACCAACTGCCCTTCTTCCCTGGCACCCATTTTGAATAGCATGTTCAAATAGAACTCTAAGAGGTATGGAGAATAGAGGTGTGCATTCATCTATATCTGGGCTGAAAAAATAGCCAAAAAAATTCTTGCCAGTATTTTTTTTGGCTATTCTTTCAGCCGAATATAGTTCTGAGGTTTTTTCCAGCTATCCGACATAGCTGAGCCCCAAAATACCAAACATATTTGGGATTTTTTTTGGGACCACCAGATAGCCAAAGTTAATGGGCCTTTAAAGGGATTGCAGTCCCTTTCAACACCTTCCAAGTGAACTCATCACTTGTAGAAGGTGTTTAAAGGGACCACGAGCCCTTTAAATGCCTTTTGAGTTCAATCTCAGCTCACTGAAGGCATGTAAAGGGTCTGCAATCCCTTTCAATGCCTTTCTTCCCCCCCATTGAAACCAATGGAGAATGGGTGAACCTTTGGGAGCCCATAGAACTGGACCCCCTGATACAATCTTTTTGAAACTTTGGGGGAGGGTTGAGTAGAGACACTAGCAGCTATGTTGCTAATCTGGTGCCTCTTCCACAAAAAATCCCCCCCCAATAAATTCTCCATTAACCCCTATTGGGACCATTAACTGTAACAGTCCCCATAGGGTATAATCAAGCCAGAAAAAATTGGGATTTCCAAAAAATCCCAAAACTGAATGCCATACTTGTATTGAGATTTGGGAATATTAGAAGATATCAATTTTTTTAAAAAGTTCAATATACCAAAACCTGAAAAATACCAATTTTTTTGCACACCCCTAATGGAGAACAATTAGTAGCATTTAAAGTTTAAAGAACTGTAAAAAAAAGTTCACACATACTAAACACCAATGAATTGAGCAAGGGATACACAAGAAAGGAGCAAACATGCAGTCCCCTGTCCCTCAACTCTGTATATGCCCTAGGTGGTCTTAATCTAAACCAGGCTCCTTAACCTTAGAAATCACAGCAATCTAAAAGCTTCCCATTTCCTTGGGAGTCTTTATCTGGGCCATTTGTCTTTGTCTGCTCCATGTGAAAGCTCCTATCTCCAGATGGAATCAGCCAAAATGGACCCCTCTCCCTCCATGCCAAGGGATTATATCTCTTCTTTCTACCCACATCTGTGCGTATCCCATCCTTCCCAGGAAGAGATACTATTTGGCATGCCTCAGTTTCTGTCCCCTCCTAGTTGTCTGACCTCTCCTAATTGTCACGTTCTTGCCAATGTGTGAGGGGGCCTTTGCTTGTTCTCTACTACCTAGAATCATTTGCATAACCATACTTTAAGTACTAGGTGGGAGAGCCATCACCAAGACATGGGTGCTTGAGAGCAATTAACATCTCCTGTTTCCTGTTCTTGTGCTGTCAGAGAAACCTCTTAAAATGAAGATAAAGCTTTTGTAGCCCCAAAGCAGAAAAAGGCCTGTTCCCATGCAAAAAGTCAATTTAGAGAGGCGTGGGGGTGGGGGAAGAGTGGATCTAGAGAGAACACATTCCAAGAGTAGAGGGACAGGACAAGAATCTAGACTTTGACTCTTAAAGTCTTTAGACATGAGGCATTTACCTATCCCCCTTCAGTTTTACAAGTTATCCCAGCCACTGCTCAAAGATACTGCCCTGAATAGCAAAGAACTCAGCTTAAATAACATAAAATGAAATTCAGTAGTAACTCTGTGTTCTATATTGGGAATTTAAATGCTACTTGTCTACCAAGAACAGTTATGAAAGGGTACAATGTTTTTGTTTTGCTGCTACCACCATTTTTCGTTGTGGCATACTTTGGAAAAATGTTTTGCATTCTGGTATTGTCAACTGCCTGTCACTGCTACCAGCACCACATATTTATATTCAAGAAGACTGTCATTATTGGGGGAGAGGTTCTGGAAAGCAGGTGAGTGGACAGGCCACTACCACACTATGTCCCTGGGAATGCAAGTGGAGATTGTATTGGTCTACATAGTAGTCCGAGCCACAAGATACTTCAAGTAAGAGCAAGATGATCAGCTCCAAGGTGAGCATCCCCACAAAGACGTATCTCCATGGGGAGTTTTACAGAAGGCAGAGTAATGCATGGAGAAGTCAGAGGGACCTCTTGAAGCATCCCAAAATGTTCTTCTAAAAATTAGCACAACTTCCAGGATGTTTGTGGTACAATAACAAGGGCAGTCCCAGGATCGTGAGGACTCGCTGTGGAAAAGGGGCTCAGTGAGTTGCTCACCAATGTCAAGGTAGTAGTTATTAGAGGGGCAGCTGCAGGGAACTTCTGGACTCCTGTGGAGGCACTGCATGATCCTGAACTGACAACAGAGAAATACTAGAAGGGGTGACTACACATCTCACATTCAGATGGTGCTTCCTCTTTTTCTGTACCTCTGAGTGTTCCTGCAGCTTGGCATGGTTGTAAAGTCCTAGGAACTAAAGCCATAGGACAAAGACATGAATACTAAGGGTGGTGGAACCAAGACCAAGCAGATTACTTTGGTTGATAGTGTAGATGGCATGGTGAACTCTGAGCTGTAGTCTGCTGCAGAAGAGAGTATAGACAACCACTTCATATTGTACCACCCAGCATTACTTCAAATCCACACCTAAACCAACCTTTTGGTTACTTTTACTGTTGAAAGGGAAAAAGGGAAATTTACCATACTGATTCTAAATATACACAGGCTGTGGTCACACGGAGCATTAGCCACGCTACAGAGACGGAAGATAGGCGGATTTTCTGGGTGCGATCAAACCGCAACATATGGGAAGCGTAGAGCTCCTGTGGCTAACCCGAGGCTTCCCGCTAAAGATGCGCCGTAAAAAACTAGTACCTCTGAGGTACTAGTTTCTGGAAACCGTGGGCAAGGGCGGGCGTCTGATCACATTTCCGATGGTAGCTCGTGGCATCCGGCACCCGCCCATGTCCCGTCGCGAAAAGTTTTTACCCCCCAAGTCTCCATGGAATGCGCACAAGCACCCAATGGCGCATGTGCACACTTCGGTTACAAAAAACCCCACAACCCCTGCCGCGCCGCTTCTTTGCCGCACCACAGGATTGACGTATGATTGGCACCTCCCCCCGAACCACAAGACGTCGGCGGGACGTTTGATCCGGCGGCTGCACGGTAGTTCGCTCCGGGGCAAACAGCCACGCCTCCCCCCCACGATATCTGGCCCGTGTGACCAGGGCCACATTTAACTTTCAGCTGTCTTGTGAAGAATGACTAAACTGAAAAAAGCAGGCATAATATGTAAGTTTACAGCATCTTTAGTTTCAAAAAAAACCCACGTTATTTAAAAGTTGCCTAAAGCAAAGGTTCTGAGAATGTGACATGCAATCCCTTGATTATCAAGAAAAGTTACATAAAGGAATTGGAGTTGTGACTACTGAGATACAAGTTTAAGAGTCATTCCAGTGACTGCAACTATTGACAATGTACACAAGCTTGAGGCTCATTGATTTAGGTTTTGCATATTTGTATATGTGTAAGGGGGGGGGGAGTACAGGTCTCCTGGCTCAGTTAATACATTATGGAAGCCCAGAGAAGCTTGCTGCTCCCTGCGAAACTCTCCACTGCTCTAAAGGGAAGACACTCCACATGGGGAACATTCATCTTAGAAGCATCTTCATTTTCAGAAATATTCATCATCATAATGAGTCACACACTGTAGTTCTTAAATAACATATCGATTTCAAATTTGTAACACTGTGTAAAGGCAGCAACTGGCTAACAAATGAGAACAAACTACTGTCACAATCCAAGGAGTGCTTAAAAAAGAACTAACTCCCCCACACTATTTACCATTTCTCTTGCTAGTGTTAGAGGGGTATGAATACTGGAAGAATATTTTCATACTTGGAAATGCCTTTGCTTTGCCTGCATACAAATATGCACCCCTCTAAAGCATTCTAATAAAATGATTAGCATGAGAATGTATACTCTCACACACATAGGAGGGAACTCTTTGCATCATTTTGAGTTATTTTTCCACAACTCAGTCCCAAGTGCACAGAACTTTCATATTGGCCATTAAATTCTTCAAAGGGAGAAAAGACAGAATTTTTAGAGCAACATGACTGCTCTGAAAGCATGCTCCTTGCATTCAGTCCAAATTTACCTTTCAGCTCTGGAAAAAATCCACAGGTTTGTAGCAGCTGTTTCTGAGTGATTGGCTAGCCTTTCATGACATCACTAAGAAACCTCCCAATTCCAATAGCAGTTTGTACTTAAAATGAACTAATGAATGCTTGTGCAGCCCTTAAAAGTAGAGATGGGCACAAACAACCACGAAGCAAAGTTCGTGACAAATCTTTCCGTTTGTGGTTCAGGAACCAAAGTCCATGACGGGTCTACCACCACAGACTTCCACGAACCTTTAAGGCAGTTGATTGGGTTTGTGCTGGTTCCTGGCCAGAGCAGAAAGCAGGGGTTTAAAGGGATTCTCCAGCAGAAAGCAGCAAAAACAGCTGGGGCTCCCCACTGCTCAGCTGTTTTGGGCTTTCTTGTGCAGTCCCTTTAAAGTTTAAACTGCTCTGCATGGCTCAGCTGTTTAAATGGGCTTTCTTTTTCAGTCAGCCCCTGGGCTCACTGCCCAAGAAAGCCCCTTTAAACAGCCGAGCTCCGTGGAGCAAACTGCTCAGCTGTGCATGTCTCAAGTATTTAAAAGTATTTCTTGGGTTCAGCTCCAAGACAATTAAACCAAACAGTTGAGTGGGCACTCCACCACTCAGCTGTTTGGTTTAAATGGCTCACAGCTGTTTAAACTATTGCTTTCTGCTCTTTGTCGCTTTCCGTGGGGAGCAGAAAGCAGGGGTCGTGTGAACCAACCTTCTGGTTCACATGGGTCCGTGGTTCAGCCATGAACTGAACTGCAAAGATGTGGTTTGTTTCCATCTCTACTTAAAAGTTCTACTTATTAAAAAAAATCCCATCTGATGCATAGTTGGGTATGGAGGCAACTCTAGCTAAACCAGCATTTAGTACTCCACCATGTGTGTCTGTCATTTCAGTTGCAAAGCCAGAAGAAGGAACAGGCTTGTCTCATGGCTAAAGAATACACTGAATTTATTTTAAGCTTCCTTCACTATTTTGTAGGTACTTGTGAGGACATACTGTGTTCCACTGTATCTGCAATGCCTGTTTTAACAGCAGACTAAAACATAGTTTTCACTGAAAAATAAAGGCTGCTCTATTGTCAGGGGATTTCCATTTTCATGGTATGAAATTAGAAATATAAGTTAACTCTATCCTATATTCCTCCAAAGAGACCAAAGTATATTTGTAGGTATTCACTGAAGGGGGAACCACAGACAATGGAGGCATAAAGCACTTGCTTTAAGTGGAAAGAGATAATTGCCTCCACAAAGATTAATGTGCACACAACCTCGATTCTTCACCATATCCCAAAATAAGAAATGCATCTCAAATATACAAATTGCACTTGAATATTGCAGTTTTAAGACAACTGCTTCAAAGCCAAACACAGTGGTTTTTATAAAGTTCCTTTAGCAGTTTCAAGTACTGTTTCCAAAAGCAGCACTAAGTAGAAAGCACACTGCTCTCCCATCAACTTGAATGTTCATGAAGTATACTCCTGGTCTGTCCATTTCATCAAACCGGAAGGATAACATATTCAAGCTCAGAGCACTGTTTCCCGTACTACTCCAATGAGGCTATGAGGCCGTTCATGCTCTGTCCTTGGAGTTCTCCACTTTCTCAGCTGAAATTCTGCTGCAGTGAAAGTACTCACATCCCCACAGCTCTCCAAGTGCAGGAGTCCTGGGTGCCTTCTGAAAGGCAAAGTATGTGCCCTTGATGCAGAGGGATAAGCAGGTGTCATCACCTTCACAAAGAAAGAAGAGCGCTCTTGTCATTTTTTAGAGTTCTCTATCTTCTGTTACCTCTTTCTACATCTATTCTTCAATATGGAGAAAGTTGGGGGGGGTTAAGTTTATTTAAACCTCACCCTGTAAAGTCTAATTGGGATCATATACTACATTAAAACAAAATATTCAAATCACATGTACAACTGGAAAGTGAACTTATGTCATACTAAACATGTTTAATATTTTTCTACGCTAACAGTAAGAAGTCTACAAAATATGTGCACTCTCATAATCCTGTAACAGGTGGATACCAAGGATTTACCGCTAAAATCATTAATCTACGCCAGGGAGCTTATCTCACTTAAAAAAAAAAAAACGAACCTTTTTTTGTTGATGCGTAGGATTAATTGGTTGGTTTAAAAAACCTGATGAATCTGTACTTCACCTCCCGAGTTTACAGCACAAATGTTTATTCAGAGGAAGTAATTGTTTAGGTCCTGTCCAATCTTTGGCATGTTTAGGCGACTGAAAACAGCCTTGATTGGTCATCCTGCTGGATGACCTGCACTGGGAGATGGACAGAAGGAGTGCTACTCTGTTGACTATCCTGGACCTCTCAGCGGCTTTTGTCACCATTGCCCATGGTATCCTCCTAGACTGCCTTTACAGGCTGAGTTTGGGAAGCACTATTTTGTGGTGGATCTGGTCTTACCTGGAGGGTGGGTTTCAGAAGGTGGTGCTTGAGGAGCTGCTGCTCAGTCCTTTGGACTGTGGGGTCTGGCAAGGCCCCATCTTGTCCCCTGCTCTCTGTAACATCTACATGAAACTGCTGGGTGAAGTCATCTGGAAATTTGGGCTGGGTTGTGGTCACCAATATGAGGATAGCACTCAGCTCTGTCTTGTGCTTCCAACTGATCCCAGGTGAAGCTATAGAAACCCTGAACTGGTGAGGCACTTTTGGGGTGGATGCGAGCTAACAAACGGAAGCATAAGCCCAAAAAGATGGAAGTGGTGCTGGTGAGCAGAAGGTCTGACCCGGGATTTAAGGTGTCACCTGTTCTGGATCAGGTTACACTCCCCTTGAAGGCATAAGGTCATAGTCTGGACATGCGCTTGGACCCAGGACTATCGCTAGATAAGCCGGTGGCAGCTGGGGCTAGGAGTGGCTTTCCTGAGGAGAAAGGATTTGGCCACTGTGGTCTATGCCCTAGTTACATCTAGGTTAGGGTACTGCAGTGTGCTCCGTGGGACTGCCCTTGAACCAGCCCGGCCACAACAGTAACCTTTTGGGGCCCTGTTTTACAGGCCCACGCCTTCTGAGACTAGGGAGATGGCAACCTGGGAGAGGGCCTTCTCCGTCATGGCACCAAAACTCTGGAACTCTCTCCCCAGGGAGACTTGTCTATTCCCTTCTGTTTCCATCTTCAGCCAGCAGGGTTTGATGTCGCATTCCCTGTTTTCCTTCCTTACTGCCCAATGTTTTAATTGTTGTTTTTATATTTCTTTATGTATTCTAGCTTTGGTTTTCATTGTTTTAATAATTTTTGTTGAATTGAATTATTTTTAAGATGTGATTTTTGTTATATACGTTTTGTTAGCCACCCTGGCGGCCCTTATAAGGGCAGAAAGGCAGGGCATACATTTTGTAAAACATGTTTTGTGCTATTTTGTAAAATACAATAAATAAATATCATTTTACATAAAGAGTCAGGGGATGATCCTCTTCCCTGGTGGAACCTCCCTTCCCCCACAATGTGTGCCCTGCTCCATGAAGGGATTCTCCAATCTCCTTTGGGTGGAGCTGTCAGCCTCATGCAAATACCGCCCCTCCTCTATGTTCTTTCCTAAGGGAGACCTTTTCTGTGTCACCACAACTTCTTCATGTACTTAGTGGATGCTTCTCCCACTTGCCATGTCACCTTCTTACAGAAAAGTAAAGTTTGAATTTTGCTTTCCTATAAATTCAGAAATACAAGTGCCACACCCGCCACCTCTCGCCACTTGGGTGTTCTGTGTTGCAGAAAAATATTGAACTCGGAGCTTGATCAGAAAATGGCCTATTTGAAACTTCACAAGCTTTTCCCAATGTACTATTTCTCAATGTACTCCATAATGCAAAGATCACAAGTTATCATGAGTCAACAGCGGTGTTGCCTTTCTACAAACCAAGCTGACAGGTCACCGGTTCATGCTAAAGGTCATGTTTCTGTGCCGAGCGAACTTGCATCCTGTAAGCCAAAGATGTCCGGTAAGCTGAGGAAACATTTAGGAGTCCAGCTCTGACAACAAATTACCTGTTCAAGGAAGCTGGCACTGGTGATGGCTTCCTCCATGTGCTCTTCATCTGACTTTAAAACTGACTTTATGTCTTCTACTAGTTCATGTACATCTGGGGTCATGCTGCTGGAAGACTGTTCAAGGAACTTTGCCACAAGCAGTTTAGTGTCTATGTAAGATTTGTAATCTATCAAAGATCGAGGCCTTGGGCGCAAAGCCTTTGCTCTCAGACTCTTTCGTAAAACAACAGTCACCAGGTCTGGCTTTAATTCTGTTTGTGTGGCAGCTTCACAGCTTAGCACTGGACCTATGAACAAAAAAGAAATCCTGATGGGTACGTTTCGGTAATTTAATGAAAAAAATATCAGTAATACAGTAGAAGAAACAAATCAAATGCCAGAAGAAGGACATTGTTACTAAGGTGAAATGTGCATAATTTCTGAACTAAGCAATTTAGTAATGATTCTCAAAAGTCATACCAAAGGACCAAACAAGAAGAAAAATACACTGTTATTACTGAGTCAGCACTGTGATATTAGAACTACACCATTTGTTTCCTTTTGTACCCTTAGAAGCTCATTGATTCATGAATCTTGAGCAGAAGACACTTATTTCTTATTTTTTAGATACAAGGGCTAAAAAGACTCAGACAAATTGTGCAATTGCTAGAGCAGTCTTAGGATCCTTATTGCTGAGCAAAAAAGCCAGTTTCTGGAGTACAGGGGAACAATTGATTGAATGAAGGCTTAATATAGTAATCCCTCATAATCTTAAAAAATCTGCATTCCAGCAGGGTGTGAAAGGATGTATCAATCTTATTATTAAGGCCACAAGGGCAAATTCTGTCAGTCAATCTCCCCTGCAAAACCATTGTAGGTTTAATGTTCAGTTTTGGAAACAAAAAAGTTCTGCAATAATGTGGGATGGTAAGATAGTACATATTTGGGGGGGGGGGTAAAGATTTTGGGTAAGAAAGACCAAAAATTAGGGGTGAGCATACTCTGCAGGCTCTCAGAATCAAACTACTATAGTTGATTTCCAAGACTCGCTTTTTGATCAGAGAGAATGCTTTGGTTTTGCCCATCTCAAAAATATCAATCGACATTCCAACTTTCATCAGTTTCTCATCCAGCGCTTTCATACAAGTTTATTTGTGGGGATCTCTACTTAAAGCAGCTAACAAACCATCTTCAGCACAGAACTGTTTTAATCTCAGTTTGAAGGCAAATAGCCATGCTCTTGCTTCCAATGATATCTGTCTAAATTCTGCTCATAATACAACATTTGACACACAGCAGGGAATATTCAATATTTTCCTTAAGAATTGGGCTAGTAGTTAGTCGATATTATCAGAAATAGCTTTAATCCGCATAGCTGAATTGTAAAGAATGAGGGGAACCACTTTCAAATTAAAGGCTTGCACCAACCCAGGAACATATCCCCCCCCCCCACCTTATTGTGGAAGAACCTATTTATGGCGCTTCCGTAAGATTTTGCTTTATTAAGCTGCAGTGGCTCAAGTGGTTAAGACGCTGAACTGCGGGCTGTGGAAGGTTGGTAGTTCAGCAGTTTGAGACCCGAGTGTGCCACATGACGGAGTGAGCTCCCGTCTCTAGTTCCAGCTCCTGCCAACCTAGCAGTTCGTCGAAAGCAAGAAATTGCAAGTAGATAAATAGGTACCACTTTGGTGGGAA